CCTAGTCTGTGTACACTTAAGAGGTCATGAAGAAAAGCCCTTGTTGATTGGAAAAGATTCTCTGGGGCTGACTTGGGGCCTTGGTCCAGTCAGTAGCACAAGTGGCAGTCAGGAGCCCCTGGGGGAGGGAAGACATACTGACCTTTGGAAATGGGAGGAAGGAAAAAAGGTGGCTTCAGTCGAGCCTTTCCTCAGAGAACTGGCTGCCCTTCCTCAGCTCCTCTGGCTCCTTAGTCACTTTCTAGATTGAAAAGTCTCTGCTCCCAGAGGGACAGCTACAGGTGCCCTGGCTGGCACTGGACACACCTCCCCTGGGAAACCCAATTGATGGGCAACCCCTGATTTCCAGTTCTTTGCCACCACAAAGAGAACTGCTATAAATATTTTAGATCATATAAATTCTTTTCCGTTTTCACTAATCATCTTTGGAAAAAGACCTAGTAATGGAATTTCTGGGTCAAGGGGTATGGGCAGTTTCATAACTCTTATCCATGAATTGATTGGTTAGTAGGTATTGTCTTGCATAAATAGGTATGGGTGTATGTATACACACACATTCATACATACAAAAAGTGCCTAAGGGTGCCTAACATACAGTTGTATTTCCCTCATCAGTCTGATACATGGAAACAAGTCTAGTTCTCGATATTGCTATAATCTAAAGGATTCATACCTATGTATGTTAAATGCTGATATAATTTATCTTAAAAGATTTGGCCAATATGATGATACTGGCATCTTTAACTTGGCCAAAAATTAATACACTTACATTTACCTAATGACATGTTCCCTGACCACTTCTCTTGCTGTCCCATCTATAACCTACATCAGGGCATCTAAATTTGTTTGTGTGTCATCTGGTGAAGCTTTGAATAAATGCCTTCCCAGAATGCTAGTGTGGTTTTTGAAAATTTAATAGTCAAAGGACTGATTACACTTCAATTAGAAGTTAGGTGAAATTAAGATGTATTTTTCCCATCCAAGTTCACAGACCCCCTGAAAACTATCATCAGATTCCTCAGGGGTCAGTGTAGCCCAGGTGAAAAGCCCATGACATAGATAAATATAACTTGTACTCTGAAGCTGAAGTCCCCTTCCCACTGGGAAGCCTTCCCTAGGTATCCCAGACTAACTTCTCTGAATGCCCATGGCTGACCCAGCCTGGACTTCATAAGCTGCATCTAATCATGACCCTCTGTTGTTTACTGTTGTTCCATATGTGTGTGTAATCTATTTGCCAGTGACCCAGAAAGCAGCTGAAGGACCCTCTATTTCCAGAATCTTCCTTCAATAACTTGTTATTTATCATTGTTCCACTGAATAACAAAGTTTTTAGTGATTATCAAGCAGATTTTACTTTTCATAGAAAAGTCCTAGAGATCAGAGGAATGGATTTGGGGATTGCAGTCAGGCCATTTATTGGGTCTACTATGGACTAGGTGCTGTCCTAAGTAGCTGAACCAGATGGCCTCGGAGGCCCCCTCAGACTCTAGATTGATGACCCTGTGAAGTCCCCAAGCTCACTAGGAAGTCTGAAGGCTTCAGGTGATGGTTTGTCAGAGGACTGTACCCCCTACCTCCCCTATTCATACACATCATTTTAAAAAGGAGGATATGATGCAGTTTAGGGGTTCAGGGGTGCTGGGTCCCCAAAATCACAACACGTTGGTCCTGCCCGAAAGAATTCAACCAAAACCTTCTTTCAGCCAAAGACAAGGTTTATTAGAACATCCATTATATTGGGCAGACTCTTAAGGAGTCTGAACATGGGTAAGCAGTGGCTAGATTATAAGAATCTAAGCATCTTAATGGAGACAAGATGGACATTATGTACAGAAAGTACTGTGGGAGGGATCTAGGAGTGGCCAATTAGTCTATGAGGTGATAGAATTCCAGGGACCTGGACCACAGGGCCAAGGGAGAATGGAGAAATGGCCTGGGGCCACAGCGAGGTCCACAATGAAAGGCCAGTTGATGGTATTATAGCCTCAGGGAAATGCCAGAGATTTGGCCATGTGAAAAAGTCCAGAGTTTTTCCTTTCTGGGGCCCAGATCCCAACCCCATCAGATATACTATAATTCTAAATCCTGTAATACCATGAATATCCACTGCGTGAAAGGAGAGTTCCAGCTTAGGAGATAAAAAACTGATGTCTCCTTCACACAAGGAGCAATTCCTAGGGTTCTGAAGGCATGGGATGAAAGTCATCAGTTCAATGAGTATTGTGGTGATTGAATGACTGTTTGGAATTGGCAGAATCATAGGAATTAGCACTTGAAAATAACAGTAATAACAACAGCTAGTATTTCTGTAACGAGCCTCGCAAAGCACTTTGTCAATATGATCTCATGTGACCTTCACACCAGTCCTGGGAGGGAGGTGCTATTATGAGCCCCATCTTACAGATACAGAAACCTGAGGGGAGAGGTTAAGTGACCTGCTTAGGGTCACAAAGCTATTAAGTGTCTGAGATGGGTTTTGAACTCAGGTCTTCCTGACTCTAAGTCAGAGGTTCCACTGACTGGGCCACTTTGCCACCTTGAAATTTAGACCAACTTTCTGCTACAAATGACAAAAGTGAGCCCCAACTTTGCCTCATTTGGATGCCTATGAAAATGCAGTTCATCTGCAAGTTTAATATTCCCCTAACTTTGGACAGGGCCAGGGGGGTTGGTTTCAGGCATGCCATTGAGGCTCTAGGGCTGCAAACACAGGAGCTGGAAGCACATGGCTGTGACACACAGGGATGCCTCCTCTCCCCTCCCATCCCGCTTATGCCTTTGTCAGGAGATTCCAGAGATATTTACAGATTCCAGGGGAGATCCCTGCTATAAACAGGGCATTCAGGAGAGGGAGAGCTTCAGAATGAGGCATCAACCTTTAAGAGATTAACTGGAGATACACAAGGAAGATTTCAGAGGCAGACCTCCACAGGTCTATCCAGGCCAACCTTCACCCAGGGCTGCTGCTAGCATTTGGAGTGTTGGGCTTGGGAGGCCCCATGGTGGAGTGGAAGACTTGAGGTCAGGTCCTAACTCTGGCTTTCCTTGGGTGTGTGGCTCTGAGCACCTCACTGAGCCTCTCTGTGCCTCAGTTTCTTCATCAGTAAAACGAGAATAACATTTGCATTGTCAGTGATATTAAGGCTAATAAGAAGCCAGATCTGTTGCTTTGAACCTATGAACTACAGGGAGACTGCTAGGAAAGAAAGAAGGCAAAGCCAAGGTCCTTACAGGGCAAGCTAAGGTTTGGGATGGGAAGGCCTTGGTTTGTCAGATCCTGACCCCAGCACACACACATATGAGACTCTAGAAGGATGTTACCCAACAACTGTTCCCAATGGGCAGTCTCAACATCCTTCCATGGTTCTGTGTGTTGAGGAGTAGTAGCAAAGGGCCAGGGAACTCCTTGATATGAACCAACCATACGGGTAGGGGGAAATGAGCATCACAGAATCTGAGAGTCATTTGGGCTTCAGAGGTCAACTACTCTAACCAGTGATGTCAAATTCAAAGAGAAATTTTTTTCTCAGAGAATTTCTGAAAGAGAAATTGTTGTTGTTGTTATTCATTTTCAGTCCATGTCCAACACTCTGTGACCCCATTTGAAGTTTTCTTGCCAAAGATACTGGAGTGGTTTGCCATTTCCTTCTCCAGCTCATTTTACAGATGGGGGAACTGAGGCAGACAGGGTGAAGTGACTTGCCCAAGGTCACACAGCTTGTAAGTGTCTGAGGCCAGATTTGATCTCTGACTCTGGGCCCTGCACTCCATCCACTGAACCACCTGGCTGCCCCCAAATAGAAATGGGAGCCACATATCTGTACTTAAGGATCACTGCAGGCCACATACTGATTCAGTGTAAAATGAAATGTTATCTGCTTCATTGTATTTTCATATCTTTGTTAAATATCTCCCAACTACTCTTTAATCTGGTTCCAAGGCATTCTTTTGAAAAAAACTATGTCCCAGCTACTCAGTGTGGTATGAACAACAAATGCCCAGCATGACCCCAGGATCTGACCTGACATTTGTAGCAAATGTTGTTTCTTAACTATCGCATATCAGCTAGGAGATATTAGGACCTAAATCTCTGTCTGCTTCCACCACTGTGGGACTGCAATTATGAATTGATCTAAGGAAGGCAATGTGAAACCCACAGACAGGGATTTTAGAACAAGTAAGCAAGACTTGGATAGCCTCGGATGAGGAAAAAGAAAAATTGTTTGATGCCAAGCTGAGAAGGTGATTGTAACATGTGAGAAACATAATAAAACATTCCTCTTTTTTTTTTGAAAGAAACAATAAGGCAGAATAAAAGAGGGAAGGGTAAATCATTCCAAAGGGGAAAGGAGATGGGGCGAGGAGGGAAGTTATAGGTGGAGAGCTATCGACTCCTGGATTCCAGGGGGGTAGAGAAGGGGGAGGAGATTCTTTCTATTTAGAAACTAGATACTCCCTCCTTCATTAATTCCAAAGGGGAAACCCTTCCCTTCCTCAGAGGGGAAGAAAAGGCCCTACTCTGGGACAGTCTAAAAAGGGGACGAGGTGGTCCCTCGGTACAGTGACCATCACCGACAGACATGAAGCCCCAGGGTCTTGGAATGGGTCCTGAGCAGAGGTCACAGAAGCCCGTAGAGAGGCCTCTGCAATGAAAGAAAAGCAGGGACACACACACACAAGGGCGGAGGAAAAATGACAACAAAGTAGAGAAAATTTGAATTCTTTGAAAGTCAGTGCTGAGGGGCCGCCTATGGGCTAGACAATCAGCAGCCTGTTTGGGCATCCAGTTCCAGGAGGAGTATGCAGCCTGGGCTCTGTCTGAAGCCCTGGAACAAGTGTGAATATACCACGTCCACAAGTGCACCCAAGCAGTTCAAAGCAAAGACAAGTGTCTGCACCCTCACCACGTACAATGCACCAGCCCTCCCCCAGGCTCCTTCCCCTCTTGGCCCCAGCCCCCACCTGCAATCACAGACTCAGCAGAGCAAATAAAAGGATTCTTAGAAGACTCCAAACTTGCATTTATTTTCCCCTTCATATGACCAGAAGATGTCATACTGTCATTCTGTCCTCTAAAGCCCCCCATTCAAATGTAGATTGTGGAGAAAAGCTGAAGACTCAAGAATAACAACTCATTAGGTTGTTTGTGCAGTCAGAAAAAGCTCCCAGAGGTCAGTGCAATGTCAAATGTGAAGGAGGTCTCACTCCCAAAGTCTTCTGGCCCTTCGTGCTGGTTGTCTCCCTACAAAGTGAGGTAGGCAGAAAGAAAAAAGGTGGAGGAGGGAGGTCTTAGAGCAGGATAAGGGCCTTAATGATGCTTCCCTGGGCTTGGGCCAGTAAAGTCCAGGGATGATCCCAGGGGCCAGTGCTGGGGAGAGAAGCCAGAGGTCAACAGGAACAACACAGGGACTGGAGACTTATTTTCTTCCTCAGGTCCATACCAGGCAATGCTCTCAAACTAAAGAAGGAAAGACAGATTCAGGGAGATCCTCCAAGTCCCCTCTGACCTCAAGCCTCTCTTCATTGTGAAGGGCCTGCCTCACCACCCATCCAACCCTCAAGCCCAATCTCTCACCCACCCTCCTCTTTGCTTGACCCCCTTTACTCCAGTCCCCCAGAGTCTCCCCTTTGGCTATGATTAAACACTAGGCAATGCCTGGAGACAAAGGAGGGAAATGACCCAGTCAGGGACATACATTCCAGAACCAAGGTATGGGAAGGGAAGAGGACACCAAGGGAAGGCTACTGGGCTAAGCCTCTCCTCTGCCTTCCCATTGCTCAGGTCCCAGAGATACCATGGGCTGGGCCCCTCTTTCTACCCTCCATGTCCACTCTTCACTTACCTGCAGCTTAAATATAGTGCCCTCTATTTACACCTGGAAAAGAAAACAAGTTTCCAGTGAGGAATCCAGGAGAGGAGACCACATTAAGGTCTCAGGAGTTCACTGGTTTGTCTTAGAGACACAACAAATTACAACTGGGACTGCACCCCCATCCCCCACTCCAGTCCAGCCTCTGGATCCAAGAGGAAGAGAGAAGAGGCCCCCCAAATGGGCACTTCCCCACCTCCAGGGGTTCCCAAGGCTGGTCTACAGCCCCCAGCTGGGGGGACACCCAGGCCCTCTGGCAGAGATCCCCACATTCATCTCTGATCTGAGTCTGAAGCACATTCCCCCCTAGGCCAGCCTGTTATACCCGTGCCTGGCATCCTTCAGGAAAATGGCTTCTAGTTTGAGATTTGTTCATCTAGAGTCTCAGGGCCCATCTGACAGTCCCTTAGATGGGAAAGGGGACTTGGGGACAGAAAGCCAAGCTGCAGGTCAGGGGAAGCCAGGATCTCCATGGTGCCTGCTCCCTAAGGAGCCCCTCCCAGTCCTGCCCACCTGAATTCTTCCTCCAGATCACAACTCCAGCAATGACTGCAGTGATGACGATGAGGACCACAATGACCCCCACAATGACCATGGTGGAGGAGGACTCTGGCTCTGAAATGGAAAAGGGAAGTGGGAGGCCCTGACCCCTCTCTGGCCTGAGATTCACTAACTCCTCTCTCACCTGCCCCCAGTAAGTCCACCTCCCTCCGGTCTTTTGGGGGTCTGGGGGATGGCCTTTCCCAGCCCCTCCTCATGGTCCTTACCCCACTTCAGGGTGAGGGGCTCAGACAGTCCCTCGTGCTGCACTCGGCAGGTATATTTCCCTTCCTGGCCCGAGGTCACCTCCACGCCTGCCCACTTCTGGAAGGTCCCGTCTCCTGCGGGCCTGGTCTCAATGAACTCCATGTCCTGGAGCTGTTCCTCCCCATCCCTCAGCCAAGTCAGGGAGATGTCCGACGGGTAGAAGTCCTGGGCCCAGCACCGCAAGGTCACCTCCCCATGGGGGGCAGTGTGGCGGGTCACTCGGGTGGAGGGCGGTTCTGAAGGCAAAGGTCAGAGGCATTTCCAAGCTCTCTCTTCCACCCTCCCCTCTGGGGCACAAGGACGGGGGGGACACCCCGCAATCTGGACCCTGGGGTACAAGGGGTGCCTGGGGTTGGGAGCCCGGGGCTGGGGCTGCAGGGGAGGGAGAAGGGGAGGCTGGGGGCCTGAGTGCTGCGCACATTGGGGCGATCGGGGGTACCTGCCCTCATCAGCGTCTCCTTCCCCATCTCCAGGTACTTCCTCACCCACAGCACGCACGTCTCCTCCAGGTAGGCTTTCCACCCCTCCGTGTAGCCCCTCTCTGCCTCCCACTGGCGCTTGGTGTTCACAGCCTGCGGCACCGCCGCCGTCCACGTGGAGGTCTCCCTGTCCAGGGCCAGGTAGTCCCGCCCGTCGTAGGCCAATTGGAAAAACCCTCGCTTGAAAGTGAGCTCGGGGGAGACCTCGCAGCCGTACATGGCCTGGATGGTGTGGACCCCTGCCCCGCCCCCGGCCCGGGTCAGCAGCCGGTCTCTGGCCGCTCCCGTGCCCCGCCCCCACGCGGGTCCCCCCCC